CTACTTTGTTGAGTGGCAGTCATGAAGTGAGAATAAAAATAAGACTGACCACTTACTGATATATACTTTGAAATGTTGTATCTTCAGTGTGCATATTGTTTATCATTAAGCAATCAGCTGTTAATATGTGACAAAAGCGCCTTACGTTGCAAATGCAAATCTTAGATGGTACTATAATAATAATATGTACGTTATATTTTTTATACTTTTTTTCATTATTGACACTTACGCATACATCGATTAACGATATGTTAAACATACTGAAATATAAGTGTCAACTATTCATACCGATCACAAAATCATAAATTATTCAAACAATGACTCTTTGCGCTGAATATAACTCGACGATTTCCCTTTAACCTACATTTAAATTAAAAATTATTTCATTTCTTCTTTACTAGCTTTGTATTACACTATTGTGAACTTAAATTTAAGCATTGATGATATTAAATAACAATAATTGTCATCATAACGGTTATAATTTTATTTACCTTTAATTACTTATTACATTTTAATGCTCAATCTTTTGAAATGATTTCAATTTTGTTCAGAAATATTCTTTAGTAATGTTAATTTTTTAAGCATATTTTAAAACCCTTACAACTCCCACATTTTGTCTTACATAACTTCAATTTTTAATTTATTTTTTTCGTTCATTTCCATCCATAATTTGAAAAATTTGTAACATACAAATTTATATATTAAAATGACTCACTCTGAGCATTCAAAGTTATAATTTCATATGTATTCGGAAGAGAAGAAAAAAGATCACATAAAAAATAAAAATAAAAACGACTTATGATATGATTGAAATCAAAATCGAAAAGTTCAATAAATTTCAGTTTCCGGAAACTTTTTTTCATCATTCTTTCTCTTTCATTGCTTGCATTCATGATTTTCGGAAATCATAAATTTCAAAACTAAGAATCATTGTGGGAACGAATGAAATTATCCTTTGTCTGCATTTCGTCAAGTGCGCATCCAAAAATCTTCAGAAATTACATCAAAACTACTCAATAAAATTTGATGAAATCCATTATTATTGAAATATTTTGGTTTAAAAGAAAGGATAAATTGTGTTTTCAACCAAAAAAAAAAAAATGATTAATTGACCTATTGATAAGTTTTTTTCCTTATCTTTTAAAGGTGAAAAACCAAAAGAAGGGAAAAAAGTTTTATACATAGCATTAATAGTATTATAAAATAATAACAGATAATAGCATTGAAAAATTTAAAAAAAAATGACCAAATGGAACAATCAATACATTGTAAAATAAAAAACAAATTTTTAACTGCGACTAAATTTCGAAAATTATTCTAAGCAAGGTGAATTAAATGCTCGAAAGTTACCTTTTTTGACTTATTAGAAGTTAATATAATCTAAAATATTTTTAATTGAAATGGCTTATGATTTATGATTTTTGATTCATAACATTTGTGTAACATTCTTGTTAGTATTAAGCATATTAGCTTATTTTATTTAAATTTGGCATTAAAAAAAAAGAACTATGGATTTTTTCTTTTACAATTAAATTTGATTAAACCAACATATCGTTCAAGGGAGCAAAATACCGAGATATCATTTAATTCTTTCACAGAACAAATTGCATAAAAAGTTTTAACGTATTTGGTTTAAGTTGGCTAATCCTTACAACGTTCTACTCTTTCGAGAAATGTCAATCTCTCTGTCCTTTACTTGGCTTATTCAATGTGTTATCCATGAACATACTTGAAGCGATTACTAGAATTACGTGAACTTTACGTAATCCAAAAACACTCATCTTCTACTTATAATATGAAGAAGAAAAAAAGAAAGAAATTTGATAATGGAGCAAAAAAAAAAGAAATTCCAATTGATAAAGAGCAGAGTTTGTTACATTAATGCATGCTGGTAAGCCGATAATTAATTACAGTATCTTATCATATCTTTTAATCACTGTCAGCAGTAGCAGGATAATAAATACCGGTACATTGCTAGCAGCATTTGATGGTAATACGTCGGCTGTAAAAGCTCGCAAAGCTGAAATTTTTTATACTTCATTTTTTTTAAAATAGCAAAGATTTAGTGATAAATTTACACTGTACGTCAAATTTGACGTCGAAATTCGTGGCATTTTAATAGCGTATAATATTGATTCAATTAAAATAATATCACATAGAGAATGTAAATTTGATAACCGTACCGTATTTCTCTATGATATTTAAAAGATAGAATAAACACTTAATTAATTGTTATATCATTAATTAGCAATTCATCAAAATTTCTTCAAATTACTCACTATTTTTAAAGCTCCCAAACTGATAATGATCACATTTTAATTGATGAAATTCCTTATTTAACTGTTAAAATATACGTAAAAAGGATTAAAATAATACAAAATTTCGTAAGACATTTCATATTTTGCATTACTATTAAACTTAAACTAAATCCATAAGTTTAAAAATAAAAATGAAAATTTAAATTTGTTGAAGAAAAAAAAGTAAATAAAATCGAACATCTTTGATAAGGTGCATCGACTTGGCGATATTTAATTCGTGGACCACGATGTGATCGTTCTGACCATGGATTTGTCCGCAATTCAATTAGTAACCAATCGGAATCACTTTCGAAGCGTACACCAATCAGATTATTTCTTCTAACGCATAAAATTCTAAAATTATTCAAATAGTCTTTTTCTTTTATAAATTTTTACATTCAAAATTTCTTTTCCTAAAAAAAATCTTATTTTTTTTCAAGGATTTTTTATAGAAAAAATAAATAAAAGATTTAAAAAGGCAAAACTTACGGATTAATAATACTTTTAGTACCCCAAATATAAAAAATATCATTGCATGGTTGATCCGGTGGAACATTATCATCATCTAAATCCAAATCTTTGATATAAAATTCGATCGTCTTTTCTGGTGCACTTTTTATCAACCATTGACAAAATGTTACACCTGCTCGAGTTTCCGGATATGTACTGCAAATATTATTCCGGTTGTTTCTTTTTTTTAATTTTAAGTCAAAATTAATTTTTTTTTTAAGTCAAAATTAATTTTTTATTGAATGAACGGAATTACCACAGTGATTTAAGTTAATTTTTCGTTTCATTATCTTCCCTGTGAACAATATGCATCGTTGACTTTAACTTTTATTTTAATTATTAAAACTATTTTGAGATGAAATTGCAAATAGTACAAATATTTTTTCTTATTTTCATAATTTAATTTAATTTTTCTAGCAGCGATTGCAACAATTTTTATGAAGTAAAACTCGATATTCATTGTAAATTAAATTTCAATTGCATAAAATTTTTATTAAAATATTTGTAATTGTCTTATAATTATGAAAAAAATTTTTGCTATGTTTCAATTTATTTTTTATTCGATACTATTCTTCTTTGTATTATTAGTTTTGTCAAAATAAGAAATGCAGCAATTTTTGAATTTTTTATTTAAAACAAGTAAAATTTTCAGTCGCACATTGTTAATTACTGTTGAATATATGAAGTTTTTTTTTTTTGGTAAGAAAAACAAATCAACCTAAGTGAAATTATCCCTTGTTCTTCGTTATGTATACCACATGATGGATCGGTAAAAAGTTTTCGCCTAGAAAGTTGCTCACAATTTTTTCCCTCAAATCCATAAGTACATTGACAACTGCAATTGCCATTTACCGTACCGCCGTTCTCACATTCAATATTACACCGTTCTGTAAATGCTAAGCAAATAAGCGGACAGATAAGTGGATAAGAAAATTTAAATTCCGAAAGCATTAAAGAATTGAAAAAGAGAAATACATGAAAAAAGAGTTGAAATTCAATGATTTCTTTTTTAGAATACAGTAAAAGGGGAAAAAATTGGATGGATCGGAAGCTAAAATAGGGGAGAGAGACTCGCATATCACAATATTAATTCAGCAGATAAAATTTTTGAAGTTAAGAAACCGATCAAGCTAAATCAATGTGTTGGTTACATGATGTTAGCTATCTAACCAATTCGTTTAATCGGTTTGTTCCGCTTATTTTTCAATGTCATTTAATTAGAGTTTCATTTAAAGTTTTTTTGAGAAGTAATTTATAATTTTGAAATTTAAATTCCATTTAAAGCTAAAGGCTATAAATCTTCATAATACTCGACTGCATAATATTTAGAATATGACATGTTTTTAGCATTTTTTCACTTCCCAACATATCTTCATCTTTTTCATTGGAAACCTAAAGCTTGATTTAACTTCATTTTATACAAACTATTTGAAATCAGAAAAAAATGCTAAAATTTCATGCAAAAATTTTTTAAGTCAAAAAAAATTTGCTCAAATAATTTGAGCAAATTGTCCAACTTGTTTTAAATCACTCAATTATCCCTAAAAATTTCCGTTAAAATTTTTTGATTCGACTTAATTTCGCTTTATGCGAATTATTTTCAATTTAAAATTTTCAAATTTCCCATCCCGCATTTTTTGTCAAGCAAGAAATCCTGTATTCAAGTGAGAACCAATTTTCAAAATTTACCAAAAATCGAATCTAATTGCGTGTATTTTCATTGAGAGGCCTAATTAGATTCAATTAAAGGCCTAAAATGATGAATAAATGATGACCTTTTGCCCTACCCTCAGTAAATTCTACAGATTTGGACTAGCCTATGCTGGTCATAGTTAATGATGACCCATAACCCTTGATGATGTAATCATTCCCCAATTTCCTTCCAGTCATTACTTTAGTAAAGCCCATTTAATCCGTCATCTAACACTGACCAGGACAACAACAACGATAACAGTTGTAATCAAATAAATGAAATTACTTCAACTCTCTAAAAACTTTCCTTTCTAAACCTCTCATGCAAATTTAATCTTTAAATCCTTTCAGTTCAACTAAATTCCATTTTTCCAATTTCAATTTCATCATTTCAAATAATTTAAATTTCAACGGCAAAAATTTATTGGTGACTAATAATTTCAATCATTCTAAAACTTGAATTATCCCAAATCTTAAATTACTCCCAACCTTCAATTATTTCAATCCTTCAATTATTTTAAATTTGTTATTGACAGAAATGAAAATCAAAACATTTTTTTATTCTCCATCCAACAGAAGAAGAAAAAATTAGAGCCAACTGTTAATCTCAGATTTGGAAATTACGGTATTAGCAAAATAGCAATATCATTTCAATTTTTTTAAAGATGTGAAAATATTTATTTTTTATTTTTCTTTACTTTTGAACCTTTTTCTATTTTCTTTTTTTTTCAAAAGATTGAAACATAACAAACATTTTGTGTAACTGTGATGATTTGTATAAAATTGTTCCAAATTTCCTTCCTTTCATTCTTTTGTAAATTGTATTGAATATTTCTGATGGATATACCATAAATTATCATCATTTTTCTATTATTCATTACATTGACCATACATAATGATCTTTTAAATGAATACAATGAGGTCATAGGTTAATGATACCATTTAAGCAAATCAATAATTAATCAATTTGTCAGGCAGTTTGATTTTATACAAGCAATTTTTTATGTTGCTCAAAAATTGATTATTTTTTAGAGAAGATTAGAAAGTTGGGGTTCAAAATTTGTATTAACATTCAAAAAAAAGTGAAATTTTGGGGGAAGTTTTAAAACTTGAAAAATATAATTTTTTAAAATGAATCAGTATATTAAACATTAATCCCTTCATTCTTTTTTATTATTAACTGAAGAGGACAAAAGGTCAAGGAAATAAGGGAATACCGGATATGGCTAATTCTAGTTGACATCAAATGGACATATGTTTGTGGGTGTGTTTTTTTATATATCTGTGTCTGTCTATAAGTGTGCTTATTTTTGTACACTGTATCGCAGATTTTCATGTAGCTGTTTTATGGATGATTAGATAATTACTGTCCCAAGCATGAAGCCTATGCCCAATGATCAATGATTAACAATAATTATAGGTGTTGTACCTGTACAGTTGTACATTGTGTTGATTAGATGAATCACTTGGGTACGAATTGGTAGTGATGATGTGATAGCAGAAAGCGCATGTGACAATACCACCAAACATGCGTCATCAGACCATGATGATGATGATAATGATGATGATAGTGTTGACGATGATGGTAGTGATAATTCCTTAAAAAAAATTTCTTAATAGTTTAAGCTTATTTCTTTTGCAAAGAGAAATAAGAAACTAAATATTTATAAATAAACCACCATTTAATCTTAAATTAAAAATATCATGAGATATTTGAAGCAAATCTTGCAAATAACAAAAATTCCTCGAAATTTCTATTGTTTTTGAATAAATATTTGCATGTATATATATATATATATATATATATATATATATATATATATTCT